AAAAATCTAAGGGATACTGGAACTACTCCGGCAACTATTAGCTCTCTTCTTACTGGGCACTAGCATCAACTCATTCCCCAGTCTGTGAAAACAATTCCAGTAAAATATCCACGTACAACACGCAAAAACCATACACCCACACGCCCGACGTTAACAATGAACCCCGAATGCCCAAAAAATAACTATTAAAATATAAATGCCGGAATTTTTTACTGAGCTTCTACTCGCCCTTTATTGACGTATGTGACAATTCTGCATTGCGGGTTACACACTACAGCCCACGGTACACCAACATATATCTATCCACGATCCACAAGCTCTATATATATTTTCTGCTACAAATACGCATTTGGTAGTTCGGTACAATTGAAAAGGTTTAAAAATTTTAAAATTCTTTTTCAATGACATCGAAATTTTTTTTTTTTTAATTTAAGTTGAATCCAACTTTATAAAAAAAAATATTTCTTAACGTTACTAAAACATATATTAAAAAAATAATAAAAACAAATTAAACAATAAATTTTTAAATAATAATGTCTTTGTTTATTTATTTATATGATTAAGAAATAACCTTGTATCTTGTGAACTATTGAAATTTTTAAAGATATAAGCTCATCCTGGTGTTACACTCATCAAGACCTTTCATTTGAGTACCCACATCAATATTTCATATATTTATATCTATTATATATATGTATATATGAAAAATTTATCAAAATGCATGTGGGTACTCAAATGAAAGCACTTGATGAGTGTAATATCGTGATGAGTTTATATCTTTAAAAATATCAATAGTTAAGAAAGTACAGTGCAATTCAACATAATCAAGAAACGACCTTGCATCTTGAGAACTATTGACATTTTTGAAGATATAAGCTCATCCCGATGTTACACTCATCAAGACCTTTCATTTGAATACCCACATCAATTTTTCATATATTTATATATATTACATATACGGAGTGAGCTTATATCTTTAAAAATATCATAAATTGACAAAATACAATAGAATTTCTTAATTATTGACATTCTTAAAGATATAAGCTCATTCTGATGATACACTCATCGAGACCTTTCATTTGAGTACCTACATCAATTTTTCATATATTTATATATATTATATATATGTATATATGAAAAATATATGAAAATGCATGTGGGTACTCAAATGAAAGCTCTTGATAGGTGTAACATCAGGATGAGCTTATATCTTTAAAAATGTCAATAGTTAAAAAAGTACAGTGCAATTTAACAAAAATCATTATTTAATGAAGCAAAATTTTATTTATTTATAGTTGCTAGTAAATTTTAAAGTAACAAAAAAATTTTTAATCACATATAAACTTGATATTAATGATATCAAACCTATTTTTTTGTTATAAAAAAATACACTTATACTATTGTAATAAATTACAAAATTGAATGAAATTTTCTTTATATAAAAAATACAACTATAAAATTTGTATATTGTCTGGTAGCAAATAACTGCATCGAACAAAGTGCTAAATAAAAAAAAAATAAAGTGCTTGGAAGGATTTCGAACGATTTGAAAATTTGATTTTCGATCGTTAGATCCTCTTCAAGTATATCCACCGGAATTCCACGAAAATCCGTGAAAACTTATCCCATTCTGCATTTTCTTGTGCTAAAAGAAACTGGAAAAGTAGGTGGAGCTGTAAAGACCAACAAAATATATCCATAGATACATAGACTGAGAAAAAGTATGTAGAAATAGAAATAGAAATAGAAGTAGAAGGAACGAGGGATGATGGAAGCTAGGAAGGTTGAAGGGAGTGTGGTGCTTTCAAAAAGAATGCAATAGCGGATTGGGTTGTGGCCAACTGGCCGGATTCCAACCAATCCTCAGTCACCGGGATGAAGGAGTAGGACTGCTACTGCCGGTTCTAGGTTCTAGGTTGCTTTAGTCCTACTCCTAGTTCTGGTCCTACCACCACGAGTATGAGTATGAGTATGAGTATAAGTATAAGTATAAGTATAAGTAGTCCAAGTACAGTATAAGTAAAGGGTAGTGCTGTTTCTGATGCTATGTATAACCATTCAACTCGACGGCATAACTTAGCTTAGCTCTCAACTCAAAGAGCGTCTCGGCCTCATCCTCATCCTCAGCATTAGCCTCAGCCTCAGTCTGCCTGGACTGCTTTCCATAGAGAATCATGGCTCATGGCTTATCAATGATGCACCCGTGTATCCTTCTCTGGCAGGCGATCTGCTGCAGCTGAGTAATTTAAATCAAGGATCAAGGATATGCGCCGGTGGGATTCCATTGTATATTGGGGACGCGGTATCACACCAAGCATGTTTATACTGACAATGAGCGGGTGAAATCTTGATGGAAGGACTCCTATCTAAATATTAACGCTGTTTATTTTAGTTATTAGTGTTTGTATACACTCTGAGTAAATTAATTATATTCTTTTATGTTTATAAATAATTTGTAAGATCTTTACGATCTTTTTTTTAAATTTTACATTAATTAAAAAATTTTTTAATCGAAATTTTATTTGATTTAAAAATTTTTTTTGGTAATTATTTACAAGTGGGGTCAACCGCATTTTTGGCCATATCTAAGTGAAAAATTAACATTTTTAATTTTTTTTTATTCTGTTTATTTTTACGGTGCATTTATAATAAAAAAATGTCGCCAAAGAAAATAATAAAGATTTCGATAGATTTTTTGCCTTCAAAAGTTGGAAAAAATTTTGGCTCTCACGTTTTTGGATAAAATTTCTATTTCATCTTTTTTTGATATATTTTTTTTCGAAAAGTGCATAAAAAAAACAAACAATTTGATAAAAAAAGTTGAATATCACAATTTTCTAAAAAATTTATAAGTTTTTTTGAAAATTTGTTAAAATTATGATAATAAACTTTTTTATTTAAATTGTTCATTTTTTTATATATTTTTCAAAAAAAATATATATCAATAAAATCAAATAAAAATTTCGTTCAAAAAAATGAAAATTAAAATGGTTGACCCCACTTGTGAATATTTACTCAAATTTGTTCCGAAAAATTATTTTTAAAAAAATGCATCTTTAATTTTTTTTTCTAATTTTTTTGCCACAATATATTTGTTACAAAAGTTCTTAAAATTATCAAATATCTGTTGAATTAATTTTCATATAAATATTTATTGGAAATTTATGAAAAATATAAAATTCTTTAGTTTTAACATTAATTCAGATTAAAATTGAATTATTTAGACAAAGAATTATAATAACGATAACTATCATTAAAAAATCAAGTATCTTACAAATTGACCTTTGAATTTTGATAACTGAATTCAAAGATTAATTTCTGGAGTAATATTATTCACAGATGTACTGTACGCTCAATAAGTTCTCTCATTTATCCTCCTTTTCACTAGCAGATCTAAAGTTTAACAGGAGAATTAGTAGGTTGGTAACTATTGCAAGTAAAGTATTAAATCCCCCGTTTCATTCATCAAAGTTTACCGGAAAATCAGCGGGTGTTGTGTTAGTCGCGTTAACACATACAGCCCCGCACATAAAGTGTATAAAGGTTGCCGGTTGCGTTGTCGTTTATGAGTACCGAGTTCCATATATCCAGTATACTATTATATGTACAGGTCTAGTCTCTGCTCTCTACTCGACAGAGAGAACACGGAAAATACATTACTGCGTACCAACTTGATAAATACAGTTACACTGCACATCTGTACGCACACTACCAGGGTTTATGTTCATGTTAATTATTTAATTATATGAATTTAAAAACAACCCTCAGTTTTCGACCACCACCATATCAACATCACTCACGTCATTTATTTATTATTCATCTTTCCGGCTGATTACAACCGCATTTCCAGGATCCGTGGCTATTTATTACCTACTTTTGCTGTCTTGTACATTTCAGAAAAAGTTGAAATTTCAGGCGCTCAAGTCGTGAGCCTCGTCAGAAGTTCTTAGTCTGGCCAATTCGAAGAGAAAAAAAAATTTTACTTTTAATCTAGATTATTAAGAGAATAAGAAAAATGTTGTCTCCAAGATAGTCATATGATAAAATCGGTTTTTTTAGTGAAATTTAGTGTCATTACAAAGGTCTTGACTTGAATTTATGCCTTTTCAAGGTTTCATTTCATTCTCACCAATAGTCAATTTATTATGATAAGTTGATAAGTATTTAGGCTGCATTCGAAAATGCTTTATCTCTAGATACATAATTAAGAAATGACCTTGTATCTCGTAAACTATTGACATTTTTAAAGATATAAGCTCATCCCGATGTTATACTCATCAAGACCTTTCATTTAAATACCCACATCAATTTTTCATATATTTTATATATTTATGTATATGTATGTATATATGAAAAATATATAAAAATGCATGTGGGTACTTAAATGAAAGCTCTTGATGAGTGTAACACCACGATGAGCTTATATCTTTAAAAAATATCATAAATTGACAAAATACAATATTATTTCTTAATTATTGACATTTTTAAAGATATAAGCTCATTCTGATGATACACTCATCGAGACCTTTCATTTAAGTACCCACATGAATTTTTTATATATTTTTTATATATAATATTTCTATTTGTGAAATATATAAAATATATGAAAATTTCATGGTACTTAAATGAAAGCTCTTGATGAGTGTAACATCAGGATGAGCTTATATCTTTAAAAACCAATAGTTAAGAAAGTACAGTGCAATTCAACAAAAGTCATTATTTAATAAAGCAAATTTTTATTCATTTATAGTTCACAAGTCATGGCAGTCACATAGTGAATGCAAGATTGCTATTATTTAATAAAAAGTCAAAATTTTGGTCATCTAAGATATCAGATTGGTTAAAATTGTTTTAAAAATTACATCAAACACAAAAAAAAATTTTTTTTACATTTAATTTACTTCTTTTCCAAAAAAAATAACTTTAGCGCTTCAAAATTTAGCAGTGACCTGGAAAATTAATAAATTTAATTTATTAAAATTTATTTATTAAAATGTTTCAGTGCTGACGAAGGATTCGACGGTACATATCCAACAAACGTTGTTGTGAAAGACAACGGAACTTGCCTCTACGTCCCGCCGGGTATATTCAAGAGTACGTGCAAAATAGACATCACCTGGTTCCCATTCGACGACCAGCGTTGCGAGATGAAATTTGGCTCATGGACTTACGACGGGTTTCAGGTAAAATTTTATCATTATTAATATTACAAAAGCTCCTTTCTCTGCTATTATATTAAAAAAAACAATCAGGATTTATTGGAGTAATCCGAGCATAAAAATTTAATAGATGAGTTCGACGTTCTAGATCGGGTCTATCTATCCAAAATCGCAGATATTAAAATCAGGTTTAACTATATATCCATTAACTTTTTAACGGAAACAATGTAATGAGACTCAGTCAACTCGGGATGAACTTGATGTGTGTCGTCAAGTGAGTGCACAAAACAAATGAAATTTCTTTTCTCCTGATGATAAAGAAACGATTTTGCTGATGCGATTGAACCTTCACTTAAGATTCTAAAAACGAAGAAAGTACTCGTGTTTATATTCAGAGCCTGAGGCTATTATTGCCCTCTCAATTGATTCTCTATAAACCAGGATGATGAGGAAATTGCAAACTTTACCATGTCTATTTTATTTATTTACCTTTTTTTTCAATAGAGAATAAAAATTCTTATAAAATAACCGAGTTGATTGCTTTAAAACTGTTAAATATATAACTTGAGTATATAACTAGAACAGAATTGTAAATACTGAAAAATTTATAGTCATTTTATCTTATTTTTCTCCTTCAATTCCTTTGTACTTTTCAAGACAGGAAAATTTGCTTATATTATATTATTATTTAACATCAGTAAATACTTAACTTAATTCTATTTTTCTACTATTTCTCTTCTAGAACCCAATCGACAGACAATTCTTTTAATTGACTGGTTTTATCTTCAATAAAATTCTCTTTTTTTTTTCATAAGTCAACACCAACAAGCAGATAATTACAAAAAAACTACTCGACCTTTTGACGCTCTCAATGTATTTTCTTTTTAATCATTCTCCGTCTGTTTTTTTAAGCTTCAAATCAAGTATTTTACTGAAAAAAAATCTCTTTTAATAAATAAGTTATAACTCACAAGTTTTTAACTTTCAAATTCTTCAACTTAATTGCAAAGCTTCAAAACTTATTACAAACTATTTAACCAAAAAAAAATTGCAGAAAATTCCGTGCTTTATTTTATATTTTTTATTTCAAACGGAACTAAAATCAAAAAAAGTTTGACTCTATTCTAATACTTCAATCAATCAAAGCATTGAATAATGAAAATCGAGAGCCCTTTTTCTTGCAATACTCGTCTAGTTTCAGGTCCGAAGTTTGCATTCGAAATTAAAAAGTCGGGATAAATCAATCAATCAAACGAAACATCATATCCCTCACTTAAAAATTCATAGAGTCCACAACTGATTATTTAAAAACGACATGACGTCTAGACTGTTGATTAAATATTACCCGCCGAGCAGCGCAGTTAAAAAAGCCAAGATATTTATAAAAAATATTAAAAAGCAGGTCAAAGTGAAGCCCAACCAACAAATGACTGTTGAAAAGGACATCAATGCTTTAATTAAAACTAGTTTCTAGTCTCTAGTCTGTTTTAGTGAAAATAAATCGTATAATGACTAAAAAAAAAACTTTTGATTTGAGAGAATTGCTTTGAACTTGGAAAATTATATTTTAAAAAGGAAAATCTTTTTAAAAAAATTTTTAAAAATCAAAATATTAAATATTTACAGAGTTATCGTTATGAAAAAGGATGTACCTGAAGTTTTAAAGAGTTCTTGTGAATAATTAATTTTTTAGAATTAAGAAATTAACAAAATTAATACAAAAAAATTTTTTTCTTTTAAGAACTTATTTTATTTTTAATTTGATATTTTTGTTATCATTTTTAAGGTTCCTTAACGTCCTTAAGTTCAAAATTGTTTCTTTTGAATAAACTTTTTTTTTTATGAATGTATCACTGATAATTTGGTAATATCATGGCAAACACTCAGATAGGGAAGCAATGGTGATTTTCCAGTGAAAGATCTGGACTCCTTGAGAAAAGTTTTATTTATAAAAGCGAGTTGTCCTTTGAAAAGCTTTCACCAAGAGAAATTGAATTTTCTCACCAATTTGATTCTCCTGAGATGATACAGTGGTTCATTGAAAATATTCCTCGGCTAGCCTATTATATATATAATATAATATAATAAAATCTAATATAATATAATATAATATAGTAGAAGAGTAAGTGTTGTAAGTTTGAGTGTGGCCACATAACAGCCATGCCAAATAGAGAACTACACTTATACTACAACAGTGATATATTATATGATATGTATTTGGAGCATTGTGTATCGCTGGAGAGATGTAACCGGTGAAGGTGTAGGTGTAGGTGTGTTTTGTCAAGCAAAACGTTAAACACAGAGCATTATTATTCTCATTTATTCACTAGAGAGAATCCCAGTCGGGACAGGAGTTACTCGGTTGACATTAATTGAATGTTTCCATCTTCTTCAGTTGGATCTTCAGCTGCAGGACGAGTCTGGCGGGGATATAAGCAGTTTCATTACCAACGGCGAGTGGGATTTGTTGGGTGAGTTCACATTTATTCCCATCAAAACTTCTACACAGTCACTTATTCATCTTTATCATAATCATCAGCTAACTTTTATTTAACTTTTGCTTTATTAGATTTTAAAACCCGAATATCTCGAATGCGCTGTGAAAAATAACCTCAACTCTTTGCATTTTGCTCTTTACTCCCACATTTATCGAATACTTGCGGCTTTTTCTAAATCCTGCTAAAGAATCCATTAATTAATATTCTTTTATCGGTAATGCATTCCATATTTTTTCTTTAATCCATAATGAACGTTTATTTCTCGCGAAATATATTAAATATTTAATTAAAAATTTATTCGATAAATAAAAAAGCTTTGGAATTTATTTATAGTTATTCCTTTTTATTGCGAGACGATTTAGTAAATACCGGTATTTATTTTATTCTAATTAATTATCGATAAATGATTAAGAATTTTTTTAAGTACTTTAATCTCTTCGATATAACTAAAAAATTGTTCTTTTTTTTCCTGCATTATTCTTGTATTTGATTATACTTAAAAAAAAATTATTAAAAGTTTCTTTTAAATAAATCAACTTCAGTAATTAAAAATTTGAACTTTTAAAACCTCTCTAACTTCAACCCTCATTAAATAAAACTTTAGATATCCAAAATTTTTGAACATTTCCCTTAAACTTCAGCAAATTGAGGTTCTACTGTATAATGAATCCAGCAAATCCGACTGTCGACTTAGACAAAGCAATTTCGACCCTTGGGAAGAAGCTGATCAATTTCGAGCGTTAATTGGGATCGCTTTCAAATTGACTTGTTTCGATTGACTTAACAGCTATTAGAGCTGTATATTCCAGATTGCGAATAAATTTGAACTTCAAATTTTTAAACTACTGTATACACAGAAAAAAATTTACTTAATTCTAGTAAATAGTTTTAAAGAACTTCATCTTCTTGATTTGAGAGGAAAAATTCTTAAACTAAGAAATTTTTCTTGGTTCAAATGAATTTCCCCTATGAAAAAAAAAATATATGTCGAAATACATAAAAAATATATTTTTTTTATATTTTTAGCCATGTACTTTTTATGTATTTTAAGATATATCTTGAATACATCTAAAATATATTTAAAATATATATGAAAATCGGCCAAAAGTTAGTTATTAAAAATATATGTACTATACATATTTTTTAAATATTTATATATTTTTTATATATTTGAACATATATTTTTTTTATTTTTTTTTTTTTCATGGGGGTTAATTTAATTTAAAATTAATTTCTTGGTTCAAGAATTTTTCTCTTGATTAAATTTAATTTTTTTCTGTGTAGTAAATATTATTTTATCAAACAGAGTCTATGATAAGTAAAAAATATCGCATCATCCTTCATATTAAAGCACTCTTACGTATAAAAGATTGACCTGAACTAGAAGAGCCGAAAAAAAATTAGCATTCATCAGCCGGGTCTCCTAAAAATTCCAATCTTTCAACATCTATAAATCCCGGAGCTTTAAGAACCGAGAACCGAAAAGTCTAACGTCGAAAGAAGCACGAGTTGACGGTTTTTTAGCTCAGTCTCCAGTGCAGCATCACCATTTCCTTAACAGCACTCCTCAGTATCGTTAGTCCGCAGTGACCCTCCCATCGCCGTCAAATCCGATAATCTAACGTACGTGGACTCGGAAACGTGGTTCAGTTTGTAAAAGGAAAAACGGAAACTACCTCGTAGTCGCTAGCTGACAAACGATAATATTCTTTCTTTATTTAACTTCTCCAGAACTAACACTAACACTAACATAACGTAAGATATAATATATAATATACACTTTTATTTAATGTCGAGCACGTATTCCCGACGTTGCAATCATTTTTTCTACGGCTACACACCACATATTCTCCTATACATTTATGTACACAGATAAATATAAAAAAAACTGTACAAGCTTCCCTCCATCCATTTTATATTATATTATATAATATATAATATCGTGTGAGGCGATATACCTATAGACATTTTTTTTTATTTTTTATTTTTTACTCCCTTTCCGTATCATCTCAATAATTCGCAACCTAACCCGAATGCCATCATTTCAGGCGTGCCTGGCAAGAGGAATGTCATCTATTACAACTGCTGCCCAGAGCCCTACATAGATATAACATTTGTGGTTATCATAAGGAGACGAACACTTTATTACTTCTTCAATCTGATTGTACCGTGCGTTCTTATTGCCAGCATGGCTGTTTTAGGATTTACTTTACCACCTGACTCCGGTGAAAAGTTATCTCTCGGTAAGTTGAATCTTTTTTATTGCATTATTTATGGTATTTTCAGGCGATTCAATACTGATTTAGTAATTTCAATATTTAAAGGCTTTTTTTCTTATTTATTAACACCTAAATTGCTACATTTCTTCTTTAAAGAAGTATAACGTGAATTTTGATGAAGGGATAGCCTTGTATAGCTGCGGGGAGGTGTGACGAAAATAATTTCAGATTCATTTCAATTTTTTTTCTTTAGGATAAACGAATGAATTGTATTTTTTAATATAGTAACAGATTTATAAAAGTATAAAATTTTTTTTATACTAAAAATCATATTAACACATTTATATTTGTTGATTTATGGTCACAATCATTTTTTTTTTTTTAAGAGCAATGTATTTTATGTCAACTTTTAAAAATACTATTTCTACAAAATATGAATAGTTACTAGCCTGAAAATTTTTTAAGGAAAAATTTACTTGCAAAAGTAAATTTTTAGGCCCTAAATTAGCGATTTTTGTAACGCTCATACGTCTTTAAATTCTCTATCGACAATTTTTAGTTAAATTTCCAAAAAATGGCATCGGTAAAAAATACAAATTGTAACTGTACTTGAAAATGGCGTTTTTTTAGTTAAGGGAGTCTTCTGGACAGGAAAAAAAATGTTCTTGAATCAAGTATGTAATTTTGAAGAACTTAATTTTCTTGATTTAAGTAGAAAAATTCTTGAACTAATAAATTTTACTTGATTCAAAAATTTTTCTTGATTCAAGACAATTATCCTCTTCAAAATTATTTTCTTGGTTCAAGAATTTTTTTCTCCAATCGAGTTAATTTTTTTTTCAGTGTAGTTTGACGTCCTGATTTTTGAGCATTTTTTAGGAATTTTTTTTTGTAAAGCAATGAAGAGATAGAACTTTAAATTTTTTACCATTTATTTATACACATATTTTAAGAGTATAAAGTTGAATTTTTAGCTAAAAACATTCAGTAGAATTAAAGTTATAATGGTCTGAAGACTTGGCTTATTTGAAACATAAAAACTCGGTGAGATTTTAATTTGTATACTTAAATACACCGAGTGGACTACCATCAAAAAAAATTTTTGAAAATTGGATTTTTGACAGACTTCGGAACAAAAAAGCCCGAAATTCATGTATTTTTTGATCCAAAAAAAAATAGAAATAGAAAAGAACAGGTTTTTTCAAAATTAGTATTGAAATAAAAAATCATTGGAATTGAAAACAACATAAAATTTAAGGGACAGTAAATTTTTATTCTCTCAGCGGAATATTTGAACTGTAAAACAAAATGAGTGGAAAAGTCGTAGAAATTTGAATTTACCAAACTTTTTACTCTACTTTGTTCTTGTTCTTATTGCTTCCTTGTTCTTTTTACTTGAGCGACATATAACTTACAAATTGAATTGACCAGACTAGCAATGCTGCTGACTGATGACGTCCCGATCCAGTCGATAAACCTCAGACAAATGTGTTCCAGGAGGTGAAATAAAACGAAACCCCGGGTTGTAATGAAAATAAAAAGATAAATATATAAAACGATTTAGCAATTACCGGTTAAAATAGCCTTCATCATCAAATCGTGGTAATCCGGTCGTTATTTCAGTACCAGTTACCAAGCGGAGATTAGTCTGGTATAAGCGAGTTAAGGGATTTCTCTGTCTGCTTCGCATTTTCTTTCTCGCTTCACTCTTCTTTAACTTTTACCCTAGCAAAAGCAAGCCAGTTCAAAACTTTGTCGTCTCAATGATAACCTAATCATTTTCATTTTAATTAACTGATTCCTTTTTCTTTATATACATATATATTACTTTAATTATTTACTTTTATAATCATAATAATGATAATAAACTTTTCAGGAGTGACTATTCTCCTGTCTCTTACTGTGTTCTTGAACATGGTTGCCGAGACAATGCCAGCAACGTCCGATGCTGTACCGTTATTAGGTGAGTTACTATACTATTACAGAATCCAATTCTACGTCTATTGAATTCTTATAGCGTTTCAACAATTTAGTTGATAATTGTTAACAATTGTAGTAAAACCTGAGGTTAAATGAGACGAGAAAATTTATTTATCATGAAAATTAACCAACAGATTGACCATTTTTTGGTTTTATTTAAAAAATAATATATTTTCTCAAAATTATATCTTTATAATTTTTTATAAGTTCTATATTGATGAAAAAATTTATTAATTGTTATTAAATTTATTTTCTTGGAAAAATTTATCAGATATAAGCTTTTTTAAAAGTTTTTAACAATCATTTTTTGAGAAGCAAATTAAATTTATTTACAAACAAAAAATATTTATTTATAGTTATTAAATATTTTTACCATTAAATCTACATTATTAGGAGAATAAGAAAAATTTTGTCTCCAGGATTGTCATACGATAAAATAGGTTTTTTTAATAAAATTTAGTGTCATTGCAAAGGTCTTGAGTTGAATTTGTGCCTTTTCAAGGTTTCATATCAATCTTACCCAGAGTCAATTTATGATAAGTATTTGGACTGCATTCGAAAATGCTCTATTTCTAGATACATAGTTAATTAAGAAATAAACTTTTATTTTGTGAAATATTGACATTTTTCAAGATATGAGCTCATCCCGATGTTACACTCATTGAGACCTTTCATTTGAGTACCCACATCAATTTTTTATATATTTATATATATTACATATATGTATATATAAAAAATATATCAAAATGCATGTGGGTACTCAAATGAAAGCTCTTAATGAGTGTAACACCACGATGGGCTTATATCTTTAAAAATATCATAAATTGACAAAATACAATATAATTTCTTAATTATTGACATTTTTAAAGATATAAGCTCATTTTTATGATACACTCATCGAGACCTTTCATTTAAGTACCCACATGAATTTTTCATATATTTTTTATATGTATTTTTCATATATATTTTATATATATATATATATATATATTCTGATACTTGTGAAATATATAAAAAAATTCATGTGGGTACTCAAATGAAAGCTCTCGATGAGTGTAACATTGGAATGAGCTTATATCTTTAAAAACGTCAATATTTAAGAACGTACAGTGCAATTTAGCAAAAGTCATCATTTAAAAAATCAAAATTTTATTTATTTATATTTCACAAATCACGGCAGTCACATAGTGACTGCAAGGTTGCTTGTGTATCTTACTTGAAATATCACACTGATAAAGAAATTCTTAGAAAATTTTTGTACTTTTTTCAAGAATATTTATTTTGATACAATAATAAATTTAGTTTCGTCTTAAATTTTAAATTTAAAAAAATTTGTCTCTAATTTCCTTAAAAATTTATTGAAATTAATGTCCCATATCACCTCGAGTTTTTCTACAATAAATAACCCATAATTTACCAATAATAACCGAAATAGCTTAGACACTCAATACTTAATGCTCGATTTATTTGCAGGAACATACTTCAATTGTATCATGTTTATGGTTGCCAGCAGTGTGGTCAGCACTATTCTCATATTGAATTATCACCACCGTAATTCTGACACTCACGAAATGTCTGAATGGGTATAAATAACAATATACTGCTACTGATATAGTTTGCCAGTTAATAACTAACTGGAAGCTCCATATCCATAACTATACATCAGTAATCAACTGCGGTGCAGAGTTAATATTAACTAAAAAAAAAAAACAAACTGTTTTACAGGTGCGGGTTCTGTTCTTAAAATGGCTGCCTTGCTTCCTCCGCATGTCGAGGCCCGCAGACAAAGAAGACAAAGACGGCCAGAAATCGCAGAAACCATCTCCAGTGACTGGTAATATAATATAATAGGGAACTGAATAAATTAGTGTTTACCTCAATGCTACAAATATTTGAATTAGCAACACGCAAAGACAAACATAAAAAGATGTAATGCAAAATTATTGGTGCATGTTTTAAAGTTTAAGACACTTTGCAAGCACTCTATACCATTGAATTAAAGTAAGTTTAATGCAAATAGTTTTACTTTAATTGCCAGCCAAGAGAAGTTTCAACTCATTTGCTAAGCTCAAATTTGCTCTTTGCTATAACAATCTCTTCTCATCTATTAATATCCTGTTATTATTTAACCCGGTCGATTCTGATTTTTTCCATTATTCAACTTATGCGTTTCGAAATTATCTGCCTCGAGTTCTTGTTAAACATCAATTGTAATTGCTAATTTCAATCCTATTATTTATTCTGCAGTATTTCTTTCAATTTGGTAAATCGCATTACTAATACCAAAAGAAGATATGAAAATATGGTAAATATTTACAAGTGGGGTCCACGATTTTAATTTTCATTTTTTTGAACGAAATTTTTATTTGATTTTATTGATATATTTTTTATATTTAGAATTATACAAAAAAATGAACAATTAAAAAAAAAAGTTGATTATCACAACTTTAACAACTTCTCAAAAAAATTTATAAATTTTTTTGAAAATTATGATATTCAACTTTTTTTTCTTAATTGTTCGTTTTTTTATGTACTTTAAAAAAAAAAAATCCATCAAAAAAAGTTAAAATAGAAATTTTATCCAAAAACATGAAAGTCAACATTTTTTCCAACTTTTAAATTCAAGAAAGCTATCAAAATAAAAAATTCACCTAAATATGACCTAAAATAGGGTGGACTCCACCTATAAATAATTACCAAAATTTCTTAATTTAAGAATTTTTCTACTCAACTAAAGAAGATGAAATTCTTTAAAATTATTCGCTTGATTCAAGTAAATTTTTTTTTCTGTGTGTGTATAACATTTTTCGTTACAATTGCACCACCTCTCCCCTACTATAATTGTCTATCTATGCACAAAAAAAAAAAAATGATTGATTACAGTGTGAATTTTCTTGACTCAGAAAAAAATTTTAAAAGAAAAATTTATCCTGGAAAGAGTAAAATTTTTTTTGACCAAGTTAATTTCTTTCTTGTCATTATAAAATTAAAAAATATCAAAAAATTTGCTAAACTTAAATTTAGCAAAAGGAAATCAACTGTTAGAAAACTTTATATTTTATATTTTATACATGCAAAATAGAGAGAAAATAAGGTTAATTTCTGTATCCTAGTTTGAAGCTAAAATTCTAGCCAATAAAACCGCGTGTTATTGAAATAGTTTTGACGGGTTTCTATATTAGCTATAAAATAGAGTCGGAAATTCATTTTAGATCTTCGGGAAGTTGCTATAAATTTATTTCCACATATTTTTTATGGTCACTGTGATCGGTTTTATTTTAGTGCTCGAGTATTTTACGGTTTTCTGAGTAAAAATACTCTAATGGAGCTGGAAAATTTATTTTTATTGAATAAAAGATGTAAGATCCGGTGTGAAGACCGTGTAAGTCATATACTTGCGGGTTGATTATATCAAGTAGTTTTTTTATTGAAAAAACTGGGAGACACGAAGAGAAAATGTAAAGTGCATTTGTAAATATTATAGTCACACGAATATAAAAAATTTTGTTTCATTATTTCTATCTGGAGAGTCGATATTAATAAAATAATTATGAAGATTTAGGGAAAAATTAGTTAGAATTAACATTAGATTTATTTCGAATGTTTTGTCGACTTTGAAGTTAATTTTTTTGTGCAGCTAAAGTATGAAATATTAACTAACAATAAAATGTATTTTAGGTCCAACAAAAGGATACGGCGACCTGGAGCTTCCGCAGAAGAGCAGCAAATCGTTACTCGCAAACGTGTTGGACCTCGACGACAATGCCTTGGCGACTCACAATAACATGTTAAACAACGTGTACAGCACACCGGGTCCTCATCACCACATAAGTCACAGTCACAGCCATATGCACACAGCAGCGTCTCAAACACCCCATCACCATCACAGTCACACACCGGCGCCGACGCCTCATCATCAGCACTCGACGCCGCTTCCACACTCTTCGTACTCCCATCAAATAAGTCACACACCGCACCACCATCAGCATCCCCAAGACGGCGGACCACCGCAGGTTGAAACGATATTACAAAACACTTGTTTATGCTCGCGCTACGAGCTCGTTCTCATTTTAAAGGAAATTAAGGTACGTTATTCCTATTAATTATTAATTTTAATTACTAGCTTTAAGATATATATCAATTAGCTGAGATGGTTTAGTTCAACGTTATTTTACTACTCATTAACACGCTAATTATTCACTTCCGCGGACTGCTTTTTAAAACTTTTTAAGAAAAAAAATGTTTTATAGAACTAAACTCGGAAGCTCTTTTCAGAAATTATCAAAACAGCTTTTGCGGTCGATCTATACGATATTTCTCTAACCAGTGAACCGATTGCCTGAAAATTTAGCTCGTATATTCAGCAAACATTACTTCATCGTCTGATGAACCAGAATCCCGATAAGTAATATGTTTTTTACTTTTTTGCGGAACTAAAAACCCAAGTTTAACAAAAAATTTGTTTGCGTTAAAGTTTTTACTAATTTTAAGGTTTGTTTTTTATTTTTTTTTTTTTTTTGAAGATGCTAGGAAATAAAAAAAGCCATTCGGCCACTCCCGAAACAGAATTTAATTCTTGATAAAATAACATACATTAAAAAAAAAATTAAATTGATTCTAAAAATAAATTCCTTAACTAAGAAAATAATTTTGAAAAGGATAATTGTCTTGAATCAAGACGAAAAATTCAAGAATTATTATTATTATTATTATTTTATTGTTTCTTGGCCATTGAGTTATAATACATAAAATAATAGCAACAGTATAAATAAAAGCAGGAATACCGGTAAAAATTTATTAATTCATTAACTCATTCAACCACTAAAAAATTAAGTAAAATTTTCTTAAATCAAGAAAAATTGATTAGTTCAAGAATTTTTTCACCCAAATTAAGAAGATTAAGTTCTTCAAAATTAAATACTTGATTGAAAAACATTCTTTTTTTTTGTGTACATAAGTCGGTTGTGACCAAAAACGTGAATTTCACCATTTTGATAATTTTAAATAGTCGCTATTTCTTAACTAATTGATCGATTTTGCTCATCTTCAAACTCGTTCAAAGTAATTATCCAAAGAATATGTGTTCCAAGTTTAATCTAAAAATAAAAATAAAATAAATTATTTTAAATAAAATAAAAATAAACTTCTGGTATCAAAATACAAATAAAAAATATTATTTTATTTAAAAAAAGACATTTCTTTTTTCGTCTGAAATTATCTGGCGCGTCAAAAATTAAACTAACTAAAAAACTGTCGAGAAAATCTACTAGAATAAAAGGAAATTATCTGTACCATTGAAATTACAATTTAATTATCTAAGAGGAATTTTGTAAAAAAAAAAAGTTAATTATTTTTTAATTGATATTTTAAAAAAACCAATGTGCATTATGTGGTTAGCGGGTTTATTTTTATTATTATATATTTTTTCTTGTCAATCTGCGCAGTCGGCGAGCATGATCGATGTGATCATGTGAGGAGAAATGCATACGTATAAACCTAAGGGATAATTCAAGCTTGCTGAGTTGGCGCGAATTGAATTCTCTTTTTTTTATCGTCTAGTTCTCGCTATGTTATACCACGCGTATATAAGAGTACTATATATTAATATTTGACTAAGATTATTAGGTTTTTAATCTCGACATAATTAAACCCTCGACAGAGTTGAGGTAGCTTAATATATGTATATATTAGACAAGTATAAAAGAAAAGGTCGATATATCGAACAGAATAATATATACAGAAGTAAAGCTTTTGAGTAAAAAAAATAATTTGACAATATTTTAACAACTCTTGGCAGTTTTCCCGCTGGCCCTTTACTTTTTTCCGTTTATATTATTTTGATAATGCTTTGTAACAACTTTTTAGGTCACTGATTTTATCTTGTTGAAGAAAATAATAAAAAAACACATTTAATAAACTGCAGCGTACTTATTGTGCTTTAAATAATTTAAAGTTACTGCATGGTTTATAATCACTTTGACTCTCTATTTCTAATTGCTGACTCTGACAATGATTTAATTGCTCCACCGGAATCCCTTTAGCTTTTTAAGATTTTAATTGAAATATTTCAACCTTATTAATTTATTTATAATACATATTCAATCGACAAATTAATTATTTTATTTAATAGAGACTAGCAACCTGCAATTATTATATAATTGCCGATAATTATGGACCATAAATAAATAAAATTTTGCTTAATTAAATAATGACTTTTGTCAAATTGCACTGTACTTTCTTAAATATTGACATTTTTCAAGATATAAGCTCATCCCGATGTTACACTCATCAAGAGCTTTCATTTGAGTACCCACATACATTTTCATATATTTTTCATATATATACATATATATAATATATATAAATATATGAACAATTGATGTGGGTACTCAAATGAAAGGTCTCGATAAATGTAATGTTGAGGTGAGCTTAGATCTTTAAAAATACCATTAGTTGACAAGATACAATGTCACTTCTTAATTATTGACATTTTTAAAGATATAAGCTCATCCCAATGGTACACTCATCGAGACCTTTCATTTGAGTACCCACATGTCATTTTTTATATATTTTATATATATGGTATTTGTGAAATATATAAGTAAAAATTGATGTGGGTACTCAAATGAAAGGTCTCGATAAATGTAATGTCAGAATGAGCTTATATCTTTAAAAATGTCTTAATTATTGACATTTTTAAAGATATAAGCTCATCCCAATGGTACACTCACCACATGTCATTTTTTATATATTTTATATATATGGTATTTGTGAAATATATAAGTATATAAAATATATGAAAAATTGATGTGGGTACTCAAATGAAAGGTCTCGATAAATGTAATGTCAGGGTAAGCTTAGATCTCTAAAAATACCATTAGTTGACAAGATACAATGTCACTTCTTAATTATTGACGTTTTTGAAGATATAAACTCATCCCGATGTTACACTCATCGAGACCTTTCATTTGAGTACCCACATGGCATTTTTTATATATTTTATATATATGGTATTTGTGATATATATAAATATATAAAATATATGAAAAATTGATGTAGGTACTCAAATGAAAGGTCTTGATGAGTGTAACATCGGGATGAGCTTATATCTTTAAAAATGTCAATAGTTCACAAAATACACTGCCCACAAAATTTTGCTTATCCTCTTAATGATATGGATTAATTAAACCCACATGAATTAAAAAAAAAAAATTAACACAATTTATAAATATTTATTGTCAATATAATAATTGATAAAATTTTCTGTTACAGATAATAACCGATCAATTAAAAGATAATGACGAGCAAACAAAAATAACAAACGACTGGAAGTTTGCTGCGATGGTGATTGACAGGATGTGCCTAATCATTTTTACACTGTTCACCATAATTGCCACAATCACCGTCCTATTCTCGGCGCCTCACATTATCGTCACGTGATTTAGGAAAAAGCAAGCTCGCCACAACGTGGAGACGCTGAGCATCGCAATAATCGCTTATCATAATCATCCTCATAATCTTCATAATAATCATCGTCATTACCACCATCATCGCATTTATTATGATACGACTATTGGTTGTTACGGGTGGTTGTTGTTGTCGCACTTGTGCTACAATCGCACTATCATATTTAATGCTTGTAAAATTGAAACTCAATAATACTTATATTATAACGATATAACTTTTTTCCCTGACATAATAAAAGGGTCAAAAATTTTATATTACATAATAAATAATAACTAATAATTACACGAGTCATACATCCGATCGGCACACTTTTCAGCTCCGTACGTAGTCTTTTAAAAAAATTAAAAAAAAAATATAAAAAAAAAAAATTGTACACGTCATATTCTTTCAATACCGACAATAATAATTAGTGCCGTCCCACGCAATTGAATGAAATTTAATATCCAAAAAGTATTAAGTAAAACCTACGCAACTTTTTTTTTTCAATTTATTTTTAATCATTTAAAAATAATAATAATATTAATATTGATAAAAAAATTAAACATCCCACTTACGGCACGTTTTATTATTGTCACTATTAATCATCAAAAATATATTTAATAAATTATTTTGTCAGATTATTAATTTAATAAAAAGTGTGCCATTACGGATAAAAATGACGTTTGATAAAATAAATAATAATATATATAATAAATAAAAAAAAAAAATTGAAACCGGCACATCGTAAAAAAATATTTGTGCAAGAAATGCCAATGCGCACATATTATACTCTCAACACAATGAACTGCCAAGGTAATTCAAATGCCAGTGAATTTTACTATCCGTATCAGTAGTACGTAATAACGACTATGATAAAAAAATATTAAAATTTATACTACGAGATTAAGTGGCGTGCGATATAAATAGCACACATTTTTTAAAGAATAAAACAAATAAAATAGACGTGATCTGAATATATAGACGAAAAATGAAATGAAACAAACGATTTACGTAGGATTAGCCTGTTAATTTTAAGCGTCATCAAATTTGTTTAAATAAATAATAAATCCAATAAAAAAAAAAATTAAATAATTAATTACAAAATACAGAAGCATGTAAAAAGGTCTTTTTTTATAATATATATACGTATACATATGTATGTATGTATATATGTGTATAAGTACATAATTATAACTGTAATCGCTCTCTATACATATAATATCCAATAATCTTCAGATATTAAATCTAGTCTATTGAATCTTTTTTCAATTCTATTGCCATCATCTTGTCTGATATCTGGTGTATTATTAATCTAATATCGCGTTCCAGATGCCATAAGGGTGTATATCGGCAAAAGGTTGAGGTGAAAAGCCATAAGGGCGTAAAAAAAGAAATTATATTTTTTTTTTCTAAGTCTAAAAAAATTTGTAGTTTGGAAAAAAAAATTTTTTTGCATTTCTGCACGTTTCATTAAAAACTACGTCGGTTCCCAAAAAAAAATTTTTTTACACCCTTATGGCATCCGAGGTGAGTCCCAGCCATAAGGGCGGATAAAAAAATTTTTTTTTAGTAATCAACTTATTTTTAAATGAAACGTACAGAAATGTAAAAAAAAATTTTTGTCCATACTAATAATTTTTTTGGACTTAAAAAAAAATCTAATTTTTATTATACGCCCTTTTAGTCGCCCCTGTAACGCGATATGTCTAAATATATTTTCGGCCGCACGCCACACATTGAAAGGCCGATTAAAAAGGCATTTGCTTTTGAAAATGCCCAAAATCGGTTTATCCGTCAATACTTTGTCCATATAACAACAAAATTAAATAAAAGAAAAAAATGATAAAATATTAAAATTGCATCGAAGCGGATTTAACTTAATATAACTTACTTAATATGAAATTAACGTACACGCAGACATTTGAGTATACACTTGCGCGAAAGACCCTCTCAAAATAAAAAACAATAAATAAAATAACTACATTGCTATTGATGTATTCTATTGCATCTCCACGTCTTCCAAAATCAATTGTTTCGTCGTCGTACGCATTAAAATTTCTCTACTGGTGGGTGGTACTTAAAATAATTAAATGAAGAAAAGAAAATAATAATAGTAATTATAACAATGAAAATACTAACAGTCGTTATTATTATTGTTATTTTAAAAAATAATAAGTAAAAAATATGAGAATGAATAAAGAACAATAGATACGAAACAATTGAATGACTAAAAGTTCTGTAAACTTTTTAGGTGGCGAGATTTTAATGGGTACCAGTTGAACATTTCAAAGTTTCTCAACACTTTTAGGTATCTTTAAAATTACACTTTACCCTTTAACGAAAAGTAAATAAAATAAATAAATAAATATGTAAGTATATTAATATAAATTGATTATTGTTTCGACAGTACATCGTCAATTATTAAATATTTATTTATTAAAATATTTAAAAATTTTTTTTTTAAATTTAAATTGAGTTAGAATAATTTTTTATCGATGTTCATAATTATAATTGTTAATTATAAAAAATAAAAAGAGGCTTTTTAATATTGTTTGAGGATTGCGTAGATAAAGGCTCATTAAAAAATTTTGTTAAAAAATTAATTGAAAAATATTAATATTAATATATTTAATTATAAAAATTTGGCTACTGACGCGACAACCAATCACATCTTAAATAAGATATTGATATTGACGTTATTAATATAAAGTAATAAAAAAATAAAAACGTTGTTGATGTTAATCGAATTATTAAAAAAATATAAAATAAAAAAAAAAGGTTAGAAGAAATACGCGGAAGAAATAAAATATTTAAGAGCTAGATAATTAGTTAGGCACTCTCCCAAATTTTATTTTCGTTTCGTTTTATTTGGGACGAGTTTTATTATTATTATTTTTTTTTTGAGTCGGTGATTGATATTTCCAGTTTGCTAGGTAATTATTTTATTTATTGTTTAGTCACTTTATATTTATTAAGTAATAATAATTGATTATTTATATTGTATGTAATTAAAAGTAATATTTTATACGAACCAAATATACGTATTTAAATTTATTCCGAATTATGTGCAGTGCAATTTTACATTTATAAAAATAATTATTAAAGTCGAAAGTAGTGAATTATTATTATAAATAAATTTATCAGACTGTTATTTATTTATTACAAGGTATATTTGTAAATTAGTGTACTGGTATCAAGTCTTTTCTTGTAAAGGGCTACCAACTTGATTATTTTTTTTTTTTAATTAATTTTTTTGAAGAAAAAAATTTTAAAAATTGAAATTAATTAATTTAAAATTTTTTTATTTTTAGTAAGAGTTTAAATGGATAAATTTTTATGATTGATAATAAATTGTTGGTACACCTGTGAGAAAATTTGGGTTAAGAGTTATGATTTATTTTTTTGGAGGTAAAAATTTTATTTGATGTAATAAAATAATAAATTAATTTCTGAAATGGATTTCTTTATAGTTTTGTTTTAAAAATTAAGGTAATTATTTACAAGTGGAGTTTATTGATTTATTTTTTTTTTAAATACATAAAAAAAACAGGGGATTATCACAATTTTAACAAATTTTCAAAAGAATTTATAAATTTTTTAAAAAGTTGTGATATTCAATTTTTTGTTTTTAAATTAATCATTTTTTTTATATACTTTTCAAAAAAAATATATTAAAAAAAGATAAAAATTTTATCCGAAAATTTTTTCCAACTTTTGAAGGCAAAGAAACTATTGAAAATTTTATTTTTTTCTTTTATGACATTTTTTATTATAAATGCGCTTTAAAAACAAGCAGAAAAAAAAATATTAATTTTTGACCCAGATATGGCCGAAAATAGGATGGACCTCACTAGTAAATAATTACCAAAATTAAAAACATTAAATTAAAAAAAAAAAAATTGGTGTTTAATATTTAAAAGACTTGATACCAATTATACTTGCAAACAACAATAAATGTACTAAAAACAATCATACTGACGCAAGCTGATGAAATATTATCACTTGCTCATTAAATTGGAGGCAAGAAATAAACTATAAATTTAGTAATTTAATAATTTAGTAATTTATGATCGATAAAAAGTTATAAATAAAATAAAATAAAAATTTGTAAATAAAATGTCGCGATTGACATTAATAATGTTAAATAAAAATAAATAAAAATTGTTCTTGGAGGCTCAATAATATTTCACGCCTCGACTATACTGACGCTTTTAATCTCGACGAATTCCGTTGTCTTGCTATAAATCTATAAATCTTAAAAAAAATAAAATGACTAACTCATGAATCCATTGTGTACGACATGTATGCTCAATAATTTCTATTAACAATTAACAATCACTAAATAAATAAATAATTAAATGAGAGCCCTCATTAATTTAAATAAAATAAAAACATAATTAGTTTGTATGAGTGTAGATCAATTTGAGTGAACGATAACAGAGTAAACAAGAAACAATAACAGTTAAATACCAAAAAAAAAGAACAACGGTTTTTAAATCCAAACCCGCTTGTTTCATCTTATTAACAATATAAATACTTAAATAATACACAATATATGAATATATAAATATAAATTAAATATAATATAATATTACACGAGCGTATAATTCAATTACACTCAATTTGTCATTTTTTACAATTAAAATTTGTACAGATAAATATAGAGCTCGATAGTTAATAGCACTTATTTTTATTTATAATTAATAATAAATTATTATTTATAATTAAAATTGCCTGTAATTGAAATATATCGTCCAAGATAATTAAATTTCTACATACTTAGAGGTATGTCAAGCTCAACTACGTAAAATCTTTGTAATCTCTCACTCATATTTACTTTATTTATATTTATATTATTTATTATTTATTATTATAATTATTATTAATAATTAAAAATCATCTTAACGGAAATACTTATCATCGATATTAAATTACTAATAAGTAATTGTTGTTAACTAGAGTAGAAATAATTAAATTAAGGACTAGAAAAAAAA